TCTGATTATTTAATAACTCATTATTATACTCGTTATGAAAATTACGGAGACTTACTACTAACCCACGTACTTCTTATACTTTTATTTAAATAGTATTAAAAAAAAAGAAAGAATATTATGTGAACACGACTTCCACAGAATTTGAGAAACGTCGTACTACTGGAGGGTCGAAGTATTTTGTCATTAATATAATAATGAAAAGTAGTGAAAATTTTCAAAAATACAATTAATAAAATTTATTAGTATACTTGCCGTCGCCCGTCGGAATTAATTACGGCATATGAAGCTTATACCATAATATATTATCGCTGTAATACCGTAATTACTTAATATAAAATTACACAAAGTAAGTAAATATTTTTTTTTTGTTATACCGTAGATAAATTTGTAATCCGTAAATCTATAATGCTGGTCTCGATGATTTGTATGCCCTATAAAAACGAAATGTGTTAAATTTGTTGTTCATGTGTAATAAATGTCTAAAAAAGCACCATTTTGTTTAATTTTCGTTTTTTTGTAATAAGACATAAATCGGACAAAATGGTGCTTGTTTAGACATTTATTACACATGAACAACAAATTTAATACATTTCGTTTTTATAGGGATGGTACAATCCATATTTTGTGATGCCGTAATTTCAATTCGGCAAATTAAGAATGTATATTCGGACTGTCGTGAAATCGTAATGAATATTGTATTATTTAATTGAAATAAATGTTTAGATCATGGTTCAACTTCGATGATGAAAAATTAAATACCGTTTTTATTTTTTTTAGTATTTGATATTTGTAGCACGTTTTTTGTAACAAAATTTTTTTTTGTAACTGTATTATTATCTTATTTGTAATACGTAATTTACTTCGCCACAAAGATACTAGCTAGCATATTAAGCGACGGACTTAAATGTTTCCGTTTATCTGGCGTGACGCGTAAAAATTATATTGTGTGTGTAGAAGGAAATAGACGGGGGCAGTGATGAGTTTTGGACACAATTTTTAACTTTAAAAAAGGTTTTGGACATACAAGGTTTTGGACATAAGAGAATTGTCCAAATCCAAAACTTGTCCAAAACTTGTCCAAAACTGTCCAAAATTGTCCAATTGCCCCAATACTGGTCACAAGGGTATTGTAATATTGTAATTCAAAAGGGATTATAATGACTGAAAGGAAAATTGCATGGTGGGTTACCACAAATTGTCAGTAAATTGTCCGGATGATAAAATAATCTGCTTATTATAATCAGAAAATGGATTTGGACAGGGCCAGAATTGGCCAGAGTTTAATAACTAAATTTTAAATGCCAAAGTATAATTTACGCAATATTTTAGTTTTGGTAACAAAATTGCAAATTTCCAACGTTCGTTTCATTCTTTACTAATGAAACTTTTATTTATTTAAGTTCTTCAATTTTATGATATCTTATTTGAGATTAATAAGAGGTTGAAAGTTGAAACCCAATACAGATTAACGAATTTTTTCTTTAAAAAAAAAAAAATCATGGAATAAATTTTATAGTTTGTATGTCGATTCGAAAATTAATCTAATGTTATACAGTAACGCAACGTGTGTAACAAAATAATAACTTGTAAAGTTCATAGTATGATTTACCGTCTAAAAAGCAATTGTAGAATAAGGATAGTGAATATGTAAATTATACTAAGAAACGGAAACCGTTGTAAGTTCGGAGCGAAAAAAAAGATAAAACTCCGATTTGCGATTTCATTGGACGACGTCACGTGAGGGACAGAGAGAGAGAAACTCACGTGATCGATCATTTTTCATAATGCGTAGACATATATAGTCCTTCGCTTCGCTCCGGACAATTATAATGTACCTTTTCGTTCAATATTTTAATATATTTCATCTGGATGCATATAATGCAGGAGGTTCCTTAACGTACGCACGGTGGTGTCGTACCCTACCAGAGTTTAGGAGTTATGCACTTGCACGTGATATCGTTAAACTTTAACTCTGGCCAGTGCGTACGTTAATATCGTACACATGATGCAGATAAATTATGCGCTTATTTTTTTGTTGTAATTTAATAATCATAAAAACAAGTTTTAATGATGGTATATTTTTACAATTATTATTAATAGAATATGATTGATTATATTATTAAACTTTACATTCCTTTATGAACAATAATAATAATAATAATAATAAAGTTATAATTTAATAATCATAAAAAATCAATTTATTATCAAAAAAACATGATAATTGTTATAGTAGAATATTATATTATTTTATTATGAACGATAACAACAATAATAAGGTTTCAATTATAAAAAAATAATTTATTAATACGATTATTATTACAATCGTTATTGAAGTATGATTATATTAATATAAAATTCCTTTTTGAACAACAATAATAAATCAATTTATTAAAGTACTTTATTTTTTAAATATGAATTAATATATAAACTCCGTAAAAATTATATACCATATATAGAAAGTGTAATCCAAAAAAAAAAGGTTCATATTTTCAATGATTTTTTTTTTTTATAATACAACCAAAATTAGATCACAAGGATTCCCCCACATTTTTACATATTTGGGATTCTAAATTAATGTTTTTTTAAAAAAAAAGGTTATTCAATATACCCATTATTGAATATATTTTATTTATCTATGTATATACAAATATGGTCAAATTCAAAAAAAAAAAAAAAAATTAATTATTATTGTTGAGCGAATTGTATACTGTATAATATAAACATATATATATATCATAAAGAATGAAGTTTCCTTTCCTGGGATTAGAAGTTTTAGTACAACCAATTTTTTATCTTATCTACTTGATTTGTAATTCATTGTTGTAAGACAAATGAACGATTTAATTGGCAAGAAAAAAAAGACGAATGATATCGTACGATTCAAATGTATATTATAATATAAACATTTGTGACTTATGAATTATACATGTATAACCGTCAACAATATCTTTTATGTATTATTGTCGAATTGAATTACTTTATTCGGTCCTTATTTTTTTTCTCTTTCTATGTTTTCGTTTTACAACATATTGTAAATTATTTTATTAAATTCTATAGTTGAAACTTTATCATCTTTTAAATTTTTGTGACAGAGTTAATTCAGTCGTAATTGGAGATTATTACTTATATTGGAATAGGTTTAGATTAAATAATATTGCCTATAACAAATTAGCGTAATATTTTTTAACTTTAATTATTAATATGTTGTATTATATAATTATTTTAAAAAGCTGAGAAATGAGAACAGTTTATAGTTGTACATAGTTGTACTTGAATAAATAATTTATTTGGTAAAGTTTTTTTTTTGTATGACGAATTTTTTAACCGGCATAAAAAGAAAAAATTTAAAGAAAATTTAAATTCACATGAATTGAGCAACAAATTTATCATTATCATAATAAGAAATCACAATAAGGTTTCTTTAATATATTCTCACATTAATTTTAAAATGGGGTACCTACTGTACGATAGTCTTAATTGGCAAGTAATATCTCTGAATAACTTGACAATTTTCCTGAATGACCTGACAATGACATTTTCGTTGGAGGCTTAATGATCATATAATAATTATGCATGTTGAGCCGGAATACTATATATATTATACTACATATTCTAGAATATAATATGCGTAAATATTCTAGTAGTATATGTAATATTCTAGAATATAATATATGTAGTATACTGGCATATAATATTCTAGAATATAATATATTATACTGGCATATAATATATGCCAAAATATTGCATGGTTGAATATCCATTCATTATTGGAAGATCAAATTTTAAAGATCGAAGATTCTAAAATACGATACAAGATTATCGAAAAATAAAAAAAAAAATTTTTTTTTTTCCTCTATTACCATTGATTTTCTAATGTATTAGTATTATTATGAGATTATTATTAATCAATAGAGAATATTATTCCTGTCTCTTATACACATCTAGATGTGTATAAGAGAATACAGTAAGTGTACGATACAGCCCACACACAAATAAATCATCACATGATATGAGGTGAGAGTTTTTTCTTTTCCTAAATTATTTTTTTAATGATTTATTCAAAAAAGGAGTATGTACGTTTTTTTTTTAGCCCATTTTTTTTTGAAAACGAGTATTGTTATGTTGCACAAAGAAAAAAAAAAGAAGTAAACCGTTTTGCAATTAATTACGTATTTAAACATTATTGAAAATCTTTTTTTAAAAAAAAATATTTAAAATATTTACACTTTTATTAATTGATTGGATTATTTAATTTTGCATGTTTTTCGCGTGCTTATATTCCAAGAGAGAAATTTCTCATTAATGAAACATTGACGCCAACAAGCATCATTTTATTATTTATGAATATCATAATAAGATAGGTTGGAAAAAAAAAAAAAAGCCACTCCCAACTCACAGTTTATGCGGATCTGATTCGCAGAATTTCCCAAAAAAAAACAGAAAAGCTTTTTTATTTGGTCGTTACACGGTGTTTTAAAGAACAAGAAATTACCTTCCTAAATTAGTTAAATTAATTTAATTTACTTTTATTAGACTAACTGACTTTCAATTACTTTTTCACATGAACTTTATTTTCATTTTTATTAAAAAAAGTTGAACAAAAGTTACAAAAATCATCAAGTTTACCAAAAAATTAGAAAAAAACTTCCTAAAATATTTTTAAATAAACCTAAAAATGCCGTTTTGTTGGTTACACGCAACTTTATTATTATTATGACAATATGCTTACCCAACGTTACAACGTACCGAGTTTTTTTATGGAAAAAAAAAAAAAAAANTCTTTTAAAAAAAAAAGTTCAAAAAAATAAAATAAAATATTAAATTATTAAGTTTAAAAAAGTTTTTATTAACAAAAATTATAATATATATATTATTATTTATTTAAAAGTTTATACGCTAAAATTATTAAGTACATTTTGTTTGAAAAATTATATACATTGCTAACTAATTATTAATTATATATATTATTATTATTAATTACGGTATTTAAAATGATTTTTTTAGAAAAAAAAATTCTAAAAGGTTTCTACAAAGTTTTTTATATTAAAATATTTTTTTATATATTAAAATGTTTCGTTCTTTTTTTTTTTGTATCACAAAAAAAAAAATATCACACATCAAAACTGTAATATTGGAAGATCTTGCTCATTCTTTCTGGCCCGGATTCAGCCACGTCTAACTTTCTTGGGTGAAATCTATCTGGTTTTGTTTCAAGTGTTTCCTTAAAGTAATACCATCTTCTATTATAAGTTTCATTGATCTTCCATCCGTTGATGGGTCCAAGTTTCTTTAGTAAAGATTCACTCATTTCAATAACTTGAAGTGAATGATCATTTTGTAGATCATTGAAAAGATTATTTGTCTCCAATACTGTTAGACATGACACCCCTGTAAGATCAATATATTGAATACTTGGCATCGCTTTTAAGAATTCATTAAGGTGAGAAATTGATGAAATATTTGCATGTGCAATTCCAAGATATTGTAAAGATGAGGTACAATTTTCTTGTATAGCGTATAAAACACGTGGTGTTATGTAAGATGATCCAATATCTAAATTTTTGAATATTTTTGCTGAAGGGGAATTTAATATAGTGATAAGATCATATTCACTAATGATCGTATCATAAACATTAAGAACTTCTAGTTGTTCACATTCAGCCACAAAATTTGCAATAGCTTCTGAAGAAATGTTTTTACATCTTGCAAGTAATAAATGTTTTAATGTTTTCTTAACATTAGTTTCAGTTGCAAGAAAATCAAGAGTTGAATCACTGATAGAACAACCACCTAGATCAAGGTGAGTAAGATTTGGTGAATGTGCAAGTAAAGTGAGGATGGTTGAATACTCGGGAATGATTGGACATTTATGAAGAGAAAGACGTTGAAGGTGTGGTAATACTGGAGTTTTAATTTTTTGAAATGAAATTCTTGTTTCATCATCATCATCATTCTCTTCATCATTAAAACGTCGAACAAGTTTAACCTGTCCCATAGCCTCTGCTAAGGATGCAAGAGCTGAACAGAATTGTTTGGATGATAATCCACAAAAATCCAAAGCTTTAATATTCTTACATTCAAATACGAGAACTTTTAAAACATCAAAAGTGACCGAGGATTCCAAAGTTTCAGATACGGAGAAAGCTTCCAACATTGTGCAAGATCTTAAGATGTTTATGAGAATTTGAGGAGTGACCACCTTTTGAATTGCAGAATCGCTTTTTTGTAATCCCATTGTAGAGAAACCTGAGAGATCTAAATGTTGAATCATTCGAGAACGTTGAGATTCACTAATAGTAGCTTTAGCGAATAAAGTAAAAGTATAAGGGAAAGAGAAAGAGACGGTATGGTATAATATGGGAGTGACATGTAGATTAAAAGTTTGATTGACTAAAGCGCAAGCAGCGAGGGTTTTCTTGTCATTTCTTAAATAAAAAAGGATAATACGAATAACTTCAGGAGGAATATAAGGAATAATTTTTACGATTGGTTTTTTGATGACAAGTTGTTTTTGAACAAGAGGTTGATAACTGAAAACTTGTTGAGGGGTAGGTAAGACTACACCAGACATTTCTTTTTTTTTTAAAAAAAAAAATTTATTTACTGTAGAGAATTATAGAGATTTTATTTAAAAAAAGGTTTTATGAATTTATTTTTTTTTTAATAAAAAAAATATATTTTTTTTTGTTCTGTACGAGAAAAGTGAGGTAGAGGGAAAGAAGGAGGAGGGCATTTATTTATATATAAAAAAAATTTTTTTTTTTTTTTTTTTTTTTATTAGTAATTCAAAATTTACATTATACTAAATATACAATACATTTTACTGACTATTATTTTAATTACTGCGGATTCATTAATGTACATATATTACACATATATATTTAAGTTTAAAATATAAAATAACTATTCCATATAATTAATATTCCATATAATTAATACAAATACCCAAATTAAAAATTATCAGATTTTTTTTCACGAGATTTTAATTACATTAAGGAGGATTATTTTGAAGTAAAATACGGCCATTTACGTAAAAAGGCGATTGACGTGAGGGGTAAGGGAAATCATCAAACATTTTGAGTAATATTTATTTATGGGGTAACAAAGAAAATTTAGAATATATAAAAATATACATGATATATATGTACGTTATAATAAATATATATGTACGTATAATAAATATATATTTGTATATATATATACATATATATATATATATCAAATATGTTCTATATTATTTATTTATTTATTTATTTATTATTATTATTACTTATTAAATAATTATGAACCGGGTAAAGTAAGACAACAGTTAATTAAATACTAAAAAAGTGAGGCTTTATTCAAAATGACTATTTTTTATTTATGCCGAAAAAGAATTTTTTTTAGTATTGTTTAAAAAAAAAAATCAAAAAGAAAAATAATAAACAAACGAAAATTATATCCAAGAAATTCGGTAAAAATAAAATAAATGACATATTTTTGATTTTTTTATTACCTCCCTTTTGTTTATAATGATGACATTTTTTTGTAAGAAATCAATAAAATCTCAAATTTTCTCACACCCTAAATTTTTTTTCTCACTTCACTATTTTGGTTCTTTTACCTCAAAATAGGAAAAAAAGAAAATGATTTTTTTTTTATAACAATTATAATTATTTTGCGGCTTAGATTTTTATGAATGCTCGTTGATTTACAATAATTAACCAATTTTATTTTTCTCACGCCATGGTTACAAAAATGTTACAAAAATGTTACAAAAATATTTAAAAATATTTCAGATTTTAAATGTAAACATTGTTCTTTTTCCCACAATCAAATACTTCAAATTTTACTTTTATATTATCTTATCTGATTCTTTTATCCAATCAGGTACTGTATAAAGATCACTACACTCTAGATAACTCATTCATTCGATCAAGCTAAATCATTTTTATTTATCGTTGTACAAAAAAAAATTTTTTTTTTTTCTTTTTTGGTGCCAAAAAAAAAAAAAAATCTCGTATGACTTTAAATCTTTATTATTTACGATGACAGAAGTGTGAGCTTAATCCTATGTTTGGTAAAGTTTAGTAAAGTTTAGTAAAGTTTAATAAAGTTTAGTAAAGTTTACGTTAAAAAAAGATCCTTCTCTTTTTTAAGTTAGAACTACTCTTTTGATACTTTTTGATACTTTCTCATACTTTCTCAGCCTTTCTTGAATTTTTGTATTTGACTCGCTCAACATATTTTTGAAATTTATTTTATTAAAATATTTATCATGTTATATACTGTTAAAAATAGTGAATACATTACACTTAAAGTACAAAATATGAACACATAATAATAAATTAATAATTATATTGGCGGCAAATTCCGCATCAAATAATAATGCATTGTTAAAACAATACGTTGTAAAGATGGAATTGATAATTTTTTTTATGCAAGAAAATCAGCCATAATCAAGATCATCTGATTACATGTTTATTTATCACACAATTTTGGGAATATTTTATTTTATAAATAAATATTGTTTTACTTTTACATAAAATAAAATAAAATAAAATAAAATAAGAATTCAAGACCTCTGTAAGAAGAACGCCATACTAAATTTTGACCCCTTACAGAAAAGTAATCTAAAGTTGTCTTGATCATCTTGATCAGATCTAATGTGAAAATTATGGTACTATATCCATTTTTGGTGAATTTGAAATGCGGGGTAATAATTACTAATAAAGAAATTAGGATGTTTAATAATAACAAATTAATAGTATGATCACATTTTTTTTTTTTGGACTATGAAATGATTCAATATTGAATAAAGTTAAATAAACGTAAATAACGTAAATTACTTGCATAATAATTTTAAAGTTATCATTTATTTATTGATTATTATACAGGATCATTTTTCATTGAATCCTTTCTTTCAATTATTAAAAAAAATAGTCACCTGAGTCACCTGAGTAACACTAATTAAGTCATTTCATAACAAAATATGGTAAATAGTTTCAATTTGTTTACTTTAAAAACCGAAATGTGCCACCGAAATGTTGTACAAAATACGCAAATCCAATCACTGATATGTACTATTTGTTTTGGTCCAAACAACTTCGCCTCAAATTAATAATATAAAAAGGTTAAGCCGATTGTCTTTGTTTATTCTACTCTAAAATTGGGATAATTAAAAAAAAAAATTTTTTTATTATTACGTTAATTATTTCGTAATTTACAGTAAAAATATTATTAGAGGATTCTGATTCTTTTTTTTTTTTTTTTT